ATTTATAAATATTTATATATATTATATATTGCAAACATAAAGTATCAATCATATTATATTTTTTTTTATTATTGTTTCGATATAAAATTTTCTAACCTTCATTTTTCAGATACTTCAAAACATTCTTCGTATAAGAATTAACGCCACTCAGATTCTAATTGATTTCATCTTGAAAGAGTTTAAGTGATAATAGTCGCCTGAGTTTTTATCCTAACAATGAAATAAGGTAATTTCTCGATCCTTTTAGTATCAATTACATTATGAAACTACTTTCTCATGTTCATTTTCATTGTTTAATGTGATTCTTTTCGTTTGTTTCTTTGTTATTGTTATAAAACTATTATTATGATTATATTATAAGTATTTTTGATGAAGATAATACTTTCTTATTTGAACATGAAAGATATGAAAAATGAATGTAAAAAAATGAAATTAACAAAATGGATCGTACAAAAAATATTAACATCTTAGTGCATATATGATTCAAATATTTTCCGAATCCCTTTAATTTTCTCAGTATTACGTATAAAATAAATCAATTTCAATTTGCTTTTGACACATAGGTCATATGGATGAGACATGATTTCGAATGTATTAATTATATATTATTCTCAATATATACATAACATATTATCATAACTATAAATATCTATAAAAATACAGATTTCGTAATGACATAGATTACAAAATTGTATAATCATAAGAAGGAAAATAATTATAACTTTCAATGTGATTTTTGTTTCGTTTGTCAAAGTTACAATTTAAAACTTTGTGTAATTTTATGAAAATGGAACTATAAAAATCTAACTTTAAAAATAAGTAGAAAGTTTTTCTTTTATTTGCAACTAATTTACATATTTGAATTTTATAATATATTATATTATATATAATATAATTAATATAATTTTTTTAATATAAAATTCAGATATGTAATTTTATTTAAAAATTTCTTACTTTATTAATAATATATTCGTCGATATATAAATCGAATCATTATATTTAAATATGTAAATTATTCAATCGTTATGAAAATTTATTAAGAGATTGAATTTCATCGAAGATTATTTCGTAATTGGTTCGTATTTGCGTGTAGTGACAATTGAAATTTATTATCAGAATTACAGAATAATTTTCAATAATTTTCAAGAGGATATATGATGAAATATATGATGTGACAAACAAATTTATCTGTACAAAATATGCACAAAACGTGTCTAATATATAAATGAATGTAATTTTATAATAACTTCAAAATTAATGACTTTTCATAAGCTTATTAATTAATCAACTATAATATTTCATATAATATCTTATGATATGATAATAAATTTTAAATGTCAATCTTGTAAACCTCTATCAAAGAATTATTTGAAATAGAAAATGCTTTATTCATAAAATATTTATAAAATTGAGATTACACATTGAGATTAAATTCTCTTGACCTAATTTTAAGACGTTTCATTTAATGTAACTGCTTTTTATTAAAGTAATTACTAGGTACATAATTAAGAAAATTCTTTGAAATGAAATATTACAAATATTAACTTTTCTTTTGTACTCTATTGTCAATTATTTCATATTACCTTAATCTAATTTATATACTTTGATTTTCAAATATTAAATTCCATTTCGCAATTTTTTTTAATACTTCAAAGCTTTGAAACTTTTAATTTTTTATTTTTCGTTTTTTTTAAAATTCAACTTCAAGAACTTTTCCTAAGAGTGCTTATTATAACCACTTGTTGTAATTACAAATATAACTGAGAGAAGATTTCTCTCGTTAAATTTTGAGATTTCCATCGCGAAACGTGCAATATAAATTTATCAATCGTTATGAATATTCAGAGAAATTAATATTTATCTTACTAATTTTTCTACCAGCTTTATTTCATTTAAATCAAAATAACCGTTGTGAAAATATGATTTGTTCGACTGTATTAAATTTAAAGTTAATTTCCAATGGCAAATATTAAACATATTTTATTTTTAACGTACAGCTGATGAAAATCTAACTCATCGTATTCAAGATATTTAAACATTTGTAAAAATAAAATTAATAAATAAAATCATTATTATTAAAAAAGATAGTGTTAATACAAGTCACTCAAAATATAAGAAGTAATAAATGGAAAAAGTTTAGAAAAAAGTACACATGGTTTCATAAAATCTACAATAAGAGAGGAAATTAAAAAAAATAGGTTTTATTAAAAATGAATTAATATCTTGCTATCTTTGTATCAATCTTAAAGTAGTTAGTCTGTACTTTTTGTAAATATAAAATTTTTATAATTAGTTTCATAAAAAAAAATTGTTGAAATGAATATAATAAATATTTCTATGCTATTCATAACATATGCTGCATGCTTTATGTTTCAATAATAAAAATTAATGGTTGCTTTGTTTCAAAACTGCAAAACAAAAAATAAAAATTTTATTTCTAGATGTATTTTATTAGTGGTATTTTATATTGGAAGTTTCAATATGGAAAAAATAATAGTATTTTTTATCATTGATAATATTATAGATTATTCTATATTTTATCAATTGCGGGAAAGATTAGTAATAATTGAAGATTATGTTGTTTATATTAAATATATGTTATTAACATTAAATATTAATATTATATTCAATATAATTAAAAGCAGTTTATAGAAAATATTTCTTTAAAAAAAATGGATTCTTGGATGGAAACAAACATGAATTAATAATCGTTTATGAATTTTATAAAAAAATATCTTTATATTCATAAGAGTTAATAATAATTATCATATTACATCAAATGATAAATTAAACAATAATGATTAATTGGAGCATGATTATCTATTATTATTAAGGTATTAATTGTATTAATATCAGATATTTTATATTATTATTTTTTTGCAATTTTATTATTAAAAATGAAGATAATAAATAATAAATTTATTTTTATTTTTATTTTTTTTTAGATAATTCACAACTGGATAGTTACACAAAATTTTCATTTTACTTCTGCAATTCATAATTCCAATAAATCTTAAGACAATACACTTAGAGAAAATGTTCAAGTGAAAGCAATAACACTTGTCCCTTGTAGACCTAAAATCGATTTGCCTGCGGCTATTCACCCCTATAAAACATGCAACTGCAGCAGACTATTGTGAAATGATCGAACAAAAATTTCTGATTTCAATTTAAAATCAAATTATCCAACGTCATACAAAATCCGCTCTCAACTAAAGGTTTAACTTACTCTATGATGTTAATTAATTTAATCTCTATTATAATTCCATAGTTTATTATAATATATAATTTATTTTTTTATAACAAAATGATAAAATATTATGTAATTTATATTCAATTTCGAGTTTTACTTTCAACAAATATTATTTAAGAGAATATTTAATCAGTAGATTCTGAATCGACCATTTCATATGCAACAATCTAATAATAAGTGAATTACGATCGAATACCGTGAACCGATGTTCAACAGATGTGAAACGAGAAGCAAGAATAAAAAGAAAATAATCCACACTCGTTAAATCAGCGTACAGGAGTAGTTTGAGCCATTACTCTGGAAAGAAAGATGCTAGAAAAAGTTCAAAGGAGTACCGTACGCTTTGATTATTGGCACACGCCATTGCTAATAGCAGTCGTTCAAAAATGAACGGGAAACGAGAAATGTTGGAATAGTATTTCTTTTCCAACATTTTCCAGTATTTCTTTTTAGAAGCTTTGATAATTAAGTGAGTTTAATTTTTTTTAAATGATAATGAGATTTTATAAATAATATTAATATAATATATAATTTTTCAAAATTTCTTTTATAATCAATTTGTTTTTATATTGATTGAGAATACAAATATCCATTTTCTATAATAATTTATATTATATTATTATTATTTTATTATTTTTTAAATTATTTATTAAAATATAAATAAATATTAATACTATTATTACAGGTAACATAGAAAAGAAAATTATTTCCAAATATTTAAGGGATGATACTTCAAGCTAATATACATATAATATAAATATATTGCTAAGAAAAATAAATTCTCGTTTTCATGGCATATTTTTATATTTATTATATTATTTTTATATTTTTATATTTTAAATTGTAAGTATAATTTTAATTGAGATCTCTCATTTTTATTTCTTAATGCGTATTTCCATTTTGCAATATATTAACATAAATTTTTTTCTTGAAAAATTTTCTTTAGAACATAAGTCAAGTTGAAAAGTAACGATGGAAGATATTAAACCCTGCAGTTGTAGCACTACGTATAACACTGTATCTGCGGAACTGGAAAATTGATCCAAAGATTGGTTTCAAAAGAAAGTTATTTTTACAAGAAAAAGTATAAACTTCTTTTCTATCTATATGTATTGTTTAAGAATATTGGAATAATCAGAAATATCAGAGCTTGAAAAATTCTTGTTATATTGTGATTTTATAAAATATTAACATTTTCAAAAATATAATTTAATAATTAATTTTAAAAAATTCTGTTATTTGATGTAGTGGCTAAATATTTAAATTAAAAAAAAATTATGATTGCAAGTATTCAAAAGTTTATATTACTTTTAAAACTATTGGCAGATATTTCATTTACGAATATTCATTTACGAATATTCAGTTAGTTTCAAAATTTCTATATGGAATGCGGAGCATCTGCAAAGGAACATAAAATATAAATTCAACCCATAGTTAAGCTCTAAGTAAGTCGATTTACGACAATACCCATAAACATACAGTAGTGCCCTTTACTGAAATATTCATTGCTAAAGTTGGTTCTGTGGTTATATGGTTTCAATTTCTTTTTTTCTTTTGGCTTATTGCACTGAGCAGTTTTTCATTTTAAAAAATTCTCTTTTATTTATATTAAGAAAAGAATGTATTATTACATTACAAAAAAAATGTATTATAATTAATAATTATAATTCTTAATTTTTTCATTCACAATTTTAATATCTTTTTTATCATTTTATCATTCATAATTAAATTTAATATTAATTGAAAATAAATTTTATGTCAGCAATGTAAAATTGAATTATATTTTGTATCATAGTGATAATGTACAATAAAATGTTAAATTAAAATGGATGATTTATAAGATATTCGTTAAATTAATTAATATGTTTAAAACATTAAAGTAAAACTCATTAAAAGTTAAAAAAAAATTATAAAATTTTTTTATTTAACAAAATTCATCTTAAATGAATCTAATGTAATAATTAAAAATTTCTTCTACTAAAATTTCATTAAATTATCTTCTATAATTCCTCGTATTCGATACATTTTGTTTTCTATTTTCTATTTTTATTTACTAGCATCTATTATTAAAAATTAACAAATTAATTACAATTAAAATAAAAAACATAAGTATGTGTACAATTTCGATAAAATACTTTTGTTAAAATTTTAATTATTTAATTTGTTAAAATTTCTTTTTCAGAGACTAGCTGTAGCACTAGCTGTTTCTACAATAAGCTCTCATTTTCTCTCTTTTTAATCAAAGCGTATGTTTCTATCGAAAATTCGTGTTGATTACAGCGTTGAATTTCTTTGTAGTATTCCCAAGCGAAATCGTCAATTCCAGCATTTAACAAGAGGCACGGAATAGTGTTTCGCATAGACACTTTCCATTTCTCTTTTTCATTTTCTGAATAGCGCTGGATGAACTTCAACAAGAGATCTCGGTATATTTAACCTGTAACAAATTTCCTGGATAATTTACTTACATGCCAGGAACCGCGAGAACAGCGTTTTAACTCGGCCACTAACTGGACATGCTTGTTGCACCCAATTGGAAGTAATCTACCGTATAGCTGGTCGTATTTGTGGTATTTGCTTACTTTCGTAAACATCAGGTTACTCTCTCGACGATTAATTTGAATTTTACTTGTATGTGTCGAGATGGGATAAAATAAGATTCCTGAAAAATAAAAGATATGAATTATAAAAGGAATTAATGGAAGAGATGTTATAGCTTTGAACAATGTCAATGAATGTAATTTTAAGGAATGAAATTGATAAAATATGATTAACATCTTGGTATGATTAAATTGAAATTTTTTTTAAAGAATGATATGAATATAGATGAAATGCGATTAAATTTGACATACTTCGATTGAGATGATGGATGAAGGTGAAGTATGATTAATACCCTTTGGTGTACTAATATAATTTTATTGAAATTATCTTTCATGGAAATATTAATTTAATTTTTTTTCACATGTAAAGAATTCTATTTAAAGAATTTTTATATAAAGAAAGTAATAAGCACATTTTATGCTTATAATTTTTAATGAATTTCTGTGTTACAATAACTATAAAATGAGACTTTTAATAATATACAATATTATATTATGTTATACAAATAAAATAAAATATGAAAAAAAACATATTTTTTACAAATTTATATTTTTTGATAAAATTATTCTAACAAAAAATAGAATTTTAATTTATTAAAAATATAAGTTTATTCAATTCAATTCAGATAAAATTTAGTGAAAGAAATTTTATAGCTTATTATAATCTTCTTTTCTTCAATTAGTACTTTTTATTGATAATAAATTAAAAAAAAATTATTTATCAATTTCTTTAAGGAATTATTTTAATTCAATTAAAAATCATAACAATATTATTTTAATAAAAAATTAATATTCTTATAAAATAAAAAATACATAGAATCGATACTGTCTGTTACCAAATATTTTATATATGTTTACCAAATATTGATCGTTTATCGATTATGTATCAATAATCAATATGGCGGCTATTTATAAATTCTGTTTTTCTTAAGTAATATTTATTTGCAATACTGTGGAATCATCGATTTCGTGACAATAAAATTTTCTGTTTTCTGGATGTGACGCGGATGCGCACAAAACTTTGACGTCAAACGTTCCCGCTGAACGGACAGGACCTTCCGGCTCCTATGGATATTGATTTTCCGTATTTCGAGGTTTCTAGAGCAGCCGAATACGCGCATGTACAGTTATATATGCGCATGCGCAACCATTGACATCAACATGGCGATCTACCGCGCTCGAATCTTCTTTTGTCGCATTTCAACGCGTTCGCGATGATATACGATGATGCACAAAATATACGAATATACAATTTAATTTACGGACCTCTTGCGAGGTGTTGCTGACCAATATGGCTGACAATAAAAGTGTCATTATCACATGCTTGCTGATCGTCACTTCAATCGTAATTGTTGATGGTAAGCTTGATTACTTGTTTTATCTTATTACTTGTTTTTTTGTTTACTTATATTATTAAAAAGATTAATTGGAAAAATCATATATATATTTCTTTATTCTTTGGTTTAATTATATATTTTTAAATTTGAATAATCTTAATGTGGGTTTGGTGAAATTTTTTATTTTTCTTTTTTTCTTTCTTTTTGTTTTTTATTTTATTTATTTATTTTTATTTTGTTCTGTATGTAATTTTATTTGATTTATAAATAGATTACTTAAAAGAATGCTTTATTTATATGATTTTTTAAAGAAATCCAAGAATATAATTTTGTCTATATATAATCAAAATATAGAATATATATACAGAAAATTACACCTGTTGAAGCATTTATTTTTAAGTATTAGGCCATTGACATATAGAAGTTATGCAATAAGTTATAAATGATTTTTTATCGGTGCTTGTATAATTTAATATAATATAATATAATTTAATCTAATCTGACTTATATGTTTGATTTATTTTCTATCGTTTAATAATCGTTTAATGATCGTTTAATTTGTCATTTTGTCATTTTACTGCTTGTTTTTCTATATGTTCACACTCTTAGAGTTTGCTTGAATCATAAAAAATGATCGATACACATGATTTTTTTATTTTTAATTTTATTTTTTTTTATTAATTTTATTTTAATACTTTTAAACAATACAATAATTGTCCGATTTAACAATAAAAAATATAAAAATGTTGAATTATTATAAAAATATTTAAAATCAAATTTTTTGTAGATAAATTATGAACGATTATTTGCATTGTATCATTAAAAAAATAAATCTATCGAATTATAGTTTTAAAGTGTGATATTAAAAAAAAAAAAAAAGAAAAATGAAAATTAAAAGTATAAACGAGAAATAAAAATAGAAAAAAATGTTTATAGTTCTTACATTTTATTTTGTTATGATTTTTATGGATTTTTATTAATATCTGTATATTTATCTATATATTACTTATATTATGATTATCAGGGCAATTATTGTCTACGGAACATCGAACTCATGCAGCATCGGAACGAGTGAACGATTTATGGTGTTATCAATGTGAAACGATGGAAGATGGAGAGAGATGTTCCAATCTTACCGGAAATTATAGCGCTTTCGAGTACAAGTGCACTGGTGACAAAAGGACTTGCATGGTAATGACAAATGATAACACCGATTCAAATGCTTGTTGATTATATGCAGAGACGCACGGACCCTCCACCAGATGTTTGATATTCTATTTCTCTCACATGTTTTTACACCAAACAGAGCGTTACTAGGCGGCTAGCTAGAAATGATAACTTATTTATCATCCGCAGAAGCCTGTTAAAGATAGGAATGAAATTTCCTTGCAACATAATAGTAATATTCATAAATTTTGTAATTAGTAAAAATAATTATAATAATTTAATTCTATTTTTTTATTCGATAAAAAAATAAAAATTTGAAAAAATCAAATTTGACTTCATCAAATCATTTATAATTGATATTTTGACATAGATCTAGATGAAATTCATTTCAAATAATAATTTAAAAATAATTATTAAAAATAATATATATAGAATGGTCACTATGACATTTTCAAAGGTAATATTCTCTTCATTAGAACATTATATGTCATATACAGTGACATTCAAATGTATATTTTGTTAAATATCAAACGTCATAAATTAGATTCGCAATTATTTGATTAAATTTAATTTCATGAAAATTTTGCATTCAAAATGAAATTCATTTTATAAATATTTATAAATGGTTAGAACAAATCTTTTTTAAATATTTTAAAATATAATATTCTACTTTAAAAATTTACTTCAAATTTTTATATTAAATACTCATAATGTGAATAAGAAATTAGTAATACTTCTTACACATTTTATTGTGACACATTATTTTTTTTTCAGGTAAAGCGGTTTTCTTATACCACCAGCACTGAAGATTCAACTTCTAGTCCTCAAACGTGGTCGATGGAAAGGAAATGTACTAGTAAATGCGATCCTGGATGTATAGTGATTGGCGAACGTACAAAACTGTCAGCTTGCACTACTTGTTGCGAACAATCGTTTTGCAATGTTGGTACTGGTGCTGCGAATGAATTGACGATAAATTGGATTGATTTATTCCTAGCTTTAGTATTGCAAATTACATTGACAATCATTATACATCCGTCCTGACATTGCAAAGAAGATGACTCTTAATCTTCCGTGTAAATAATATAATGAGTTAATTATTATGTACATATCATTCGAATTTTAATTTTGATAAAATGAAAATGAAAAATTTCGTGACATTTATGTTTAAACATACGCTGTAATATACGTTGTAATATGCATAAATGTAATGTTTATTATATTTAATTTTGTAAATATATTAGAAATCAATTTGAATGTTTCATATTCCATAAAGCTACATTATATTATATCATGGATTAAAATGTATTTGAATAAACTTTAGAAAAAGATTAAAAATATTATCGAAAAATTATTAATAACACGATAATAATTAATTTATGGAGTATGATGAAGTACTGTTCAATTATTTAAATTGAACGAAATACCTTCTTATATATATAATTTTATTATTATATTTAAAATTGTTATATAATATTGCAATATATAATATAATATTACTGTATAAATTGTATAAATATTTATGAATTTTATTTATTTAATTTTTGAACTGATTGTTCTTTGTAATAAACACTTTTTATTGATATTCATTTAATGAATTTCATTAATTTTTTCTTGATTTCCAATAGAAATGAAATATTTTATTTATAATATTAAAATTTTAGGGGAACGAGGGAAATTCAGTAACATTCTATTCATATGGGATCAGATATCCAAAACACATCGTTTAAGTTGTCAGTGCATTTACAGCTGTAACCAATTACCGTAATTGCACACAACCTAAATGGAAGCATTCAGCTTAAACTCGTGTCCCAACAACATCCTGGAAATCTGTATTATCTCGTTCGTAGAACCAAAGAAGGCTTCGATTGAACGTCAATCTAACTTTTGCTGAGATGAACATTGTACGATTCTCGATTTCTAGAAAATTCTGATGAAATCTTCAAGCATCGAGTGACACCATTCGTTAAATTAACGAGGAAAATTTTCTTTATTTATTTTTAATTTTATAAAATAATTTTTTTTAATTTTTTTTTTAAATTTTTAATATAAATATTTAAAAATTCTAATAAATTTTAGAATATTCGATGTACGTTTGAATAAACAAAATTTATCATGTACAACAATCGTTATGAAAACTTAAGATAGTGCACGACAATGGATCTCGTAGAAAATAAGATAATATTGCCTTGTTAAGAGACAATAAAATTATTCTCGGAAGAATTCAGCACGATCATCGTCAAATATAATCTTCTTTCGAAAAAGTACGTATTAATAATATAATCTATCATACATGTGATGCTTTAACACAAATCATTTTTCATCTTCGTTCTTAAATTAATTAAATTTTGTCCATATCAGAAATATAAGGAATATTTTGTATATTTTTGAATATTCAGAATTAAATTTTTCGAAATTCTTTGAAATTTTTCGAAATATTTTAACTTTTTATCTTATCTTGAAGTTGATGGAGAAAAAAATGAAATCGAAATAATTCGAAAATCAAATTTTCGAAAAAAATCGAATTTTCGAAGGGGAAAAAATAAAATATAAAAGCAAATCAAGAAGATAGATCAAATGATTATATTACATTGATATCACTTGTTATTATCATATGATCACAAGACTTAAGCTTGTACCAATATCAAA